GCCATGGGGGGAGCGCTGCCGCGGGGCACCGGCACCCCAAAGCGCTCCCTCCCCTGCGCGGAGCTGCCTTCTCCCACGCCGCCAGGCTCTACCTGGGCGAGTCACTCCTGCGTCTCCATGCTTTCCTCCTCCTCGCCTGCAGCGGGTTCTTCCTGATTCTCCTCTTCCTCTTCTCCTTCTTTCTTCTCTGGAGGCTTCTCATAAGCCTTCTCGGAAGGCGTCACTATCACCCCGTCCCACGTGGACATCTCAGAAGCCAAGTCTGCAAAAAATGGAGGGGTCAGGGTGAAAATCCTGTTCCATTCTCCCACCGAGACGCTGGCGGAGGAAGACCCACCCATGGCACCGGCCCCACTCACAGCTGGCATCGCCCTCTTGGCCCAGGATTTTCCTGTAGCCTCCGTGAGAGAGGATGCGGACAAGCGTCTGCGCGGTGTAGCACACCATGTCCTGTGGGCACGGGGAAGAGTCAGAGTGTGGACAGGTCCCAGTCCCTTCCCCCACGGCAGCGGAGGGCAATCACCTGGTCATCACCGTGTGGACTCGGAAGTTGCCGCTCTCGCAGGGATCGGTGATACCGACGGAGCCAGGGAGGAAGAGCCCCGCCGCCAGGATCTGAAGGCAGCGCCTACAGGATGAGACGTTTTGGGTTAGAAACCAGGCTTTTCCAGCACACATCTCCGTGAGGACTCCGCTTTGTCTGCGGTTCGGATCCCTTCAAGCCCTGAGATGGCGCCGCTTCCCTTCGGAATGTTTAAAACAGGGATTTGTGCGAGTGACGCAAACGGCAGCGGACCTGTAGGCGATGTTGAGCGCCAGGGGCTGCCTGGTGGGGTTGTTCATCACGGCGTAGTGCCCCTGTGGAGAGGAAAAAAGAAAGAGGGAGTTAGAAGGAGCGCAGCTTCCCGCAAGGGAAGTGTGAGAATTCCCGATTCCTGCTACAGGAGCTGTGAGGAGCTTTATGCCAGAGCCCAGGGATGTGCAGGCAGCTACGAGTTAGCCACGGCGCATCCGGCACACCAGCGTTCCCCCTTGTGCGCTCACCAGCAGGTCCAGAATCCAGGGGGTGAGGGGCTCGAAGCCGGGGAATCGGATTCTCAGGTCTTTCAGCAGCCGGATCAAGACCTTCACCCTGGAGGAGGCGGCAGGAGGAGGGTTCGCAACGTGTCACGCACCTTCCCGCTCTCCTTCCTTTCCCCCCGTTGTCTCCAAAGGAGATTTACTCCCCGTCGGAGGCCACACTCACGTGGACTGGGAAGCGTTCTCCTCGAACCAGCGTGCGTGTCTGATGGCGGCCAGGGCGCTCTGCAGCACTTTGATGTCCACTGAAAAGAAGCATCAGAAATTCTTGTTTTTCCAACCAAAAAGTGAAGCTTTCCTCCACCCCGGTGAGGCAGCCGAGCTCTTACGGTGCAGCTCGGGGTCCAGCTTGCGGAGATTGGGCGGCACCGTGGTGATAAGGATCTTCACCGTGGCGTCGGCTGAGCTGATCTCAAAGCCCGTTTCGTTGGTCAGCATGGTCAGGACTGAGGAGAAAGAAGAAGAATTCCTCATGGAGGGGCTAGAAAACGTCACCGGTACCCAGGAACGCAGGAAACACCATGGATCTCGGCACCAGCCCCTTCAGTCAAACTCCAAAGCTCAAGGGGGAAATTGCCTGGTGTCCACCTCCGTCCCCCTCAACCCCATGTGACCCAGGAGAGCATCCCACCTTCGCTGGGGTCCTGCGCTCTCAGGCTTTCCACCACTTTGTTTCCCAGGGCTGCCACAGCTTCCACTAGGGAGAAGCAGCAGGAAGAGGGGGTTAGAGCGGAGCCGAGCGCCGCGGTTGGGTCAGCGGCCGCAGAGCCGACACTCACGGGTGGGCAGGATTTTCAGAATCACAACCAGGTCGGCCACGTTGTGCCCCGTCGTCATGGTGCCCTTCTTGTAGGAACCCACCTGGCGAACCTCCTCGATTTGCTGGTGGAAAGAATGTCAAAATTTGTTAATTTAATACACTGACTCCCAAAAACGTGGCACGTGTGAATCTTTAATCCACCTGGGGCCAGGTTTGGTGGCTGGAACACCATATCCCTCCTGCCAAAGCATCTCCCCATGTAATTGTGGTTTTGGTTTTTTTTCCAAGCTCACCACTTTTGGACTCACCACTTCGAATGTTCCTGGTGCTACAATTAAATTGTCGATCACGTTGTTTATTTTGGTCACCAGAGAAAGTATGGAAGCCTGGAAAGGAATTGGAAAAAGGGTGGTGTTAACCAGTCATCCAGCATGACTTGAAATCATCTGATCTCATGCAGTGTAACGTAGACAGCCCTGATGCAAAATACATAATAAACAGAAAAAAGAAATGTATTCCAAAATCACTGTCCAAGAAACGTCACCCATATTTCTCCTGCAGTGCTTATTTTGGAGAGAATTAATTATTTTGGGGGACACTTTCGGAAGGACAGTCTGGTTTGGCATCCTCCAACGCTGCAGTAACACCCAGCTAAAGAATTTACGGCAATTTTCGGCACAAAACCTGTTCAGCAGCGGTCGGAGCAAGGTCCTGGTTCCTCTTCAGCAAAGCTTCGCTGAAGGCGGTCTCGTCGGCCGCGGGTTTGACGCGGGGGAACGCCATTTCGCACTGAAACGGGATGAGAAATCAGACCGCAACGCCCCAAAAAACACTTTGGTTCAACCTGCTCATCGGCAAAATTAACTCCAGGGTTTTTTATTATTTTTTTTTTTTATTCTCCAGCACTTGTTTCCTTTGCGATTCCCCAACGTGCTTTGCACTTCTTGCTTTTATAATTCCACTTCCATGTTCTCCCAAGGGAAGGGAGGGCAGCTGCCTGTCCTGCCCGTACACCCACCACGCTCCGACGGCGACAAGAGGTTCCCAGACATGAGCCACCAGTGCACCCGTGCAGCTATGGGGTGTGAGACAGGGCAAATGTAACTTAAAAATGTCCCATCGAGAGGGTTTTTATTAACTATATTACAATCTCTTGGGAATCACACCCTTTGTTTGCACATGGCTGGAGTTTTTTGGTTGCTATGGTGGGATCCACAGGGCCTGGCAGACAAAAGCGAGTGAACTTGTTTGCCTTGGAAGTCCCATGTCTGTAAAGGGCAGATGCTCAGCAGGAGGAGAAAATTATTTTCTCCTAGAAAAAGGTGGGAAATGCGCGTTGCTGTTGGTCCTCGTGCGGACCGACGGGCCAGAAAAGCCTGGAGAACACCTCAGGGGTGAGTGACAGCGATCGGAGCAACCCACGAGGTGTGTGTTATGGAGAGCTGACAGAAGCGAGGGTGTGGGCGAGTGGGGGGGGGTTCTTAAAAAGCCAAAAAACCTCAATCCAGGTGTTTATTTGTTGTGGTTAGGACTCAACTGCATCCCGGTCATCCCCCGTGACACAAGGACTCCGGACAACAGAGTAAAGAGATGTTTCGGGTTAGTTACTGAACCAACAGCATTTTCGGGGAGCTCCTTTACTCCTCGTCAGCAAACGAGGCTTTTAAGGTGCATCTTTAAACGGGGCACAGCCCCGCAGGAGAGGGTTACTCACGACATAGAAATCAAAGGGGATGTGCGGCACAAAGGGCCGGAACCTAAAGGAGAAAAAAAAGAAAAAAAAAAACCAACTTTATTCTCTGGGGG